GGCGGGGAATCGGGGTGTGGGGCAGAGGTGGGTGTGGACAGACGGAAATAAAAAGGGAAAAAAAAAAGAAGAGGGAAGACAGTGTGAATGGAAGACAGGGACAGTTCGGCAGGGACGAAACGGGGAGAAAGGGAAGGAATTGGTGCTCAAAGGGATGGCGAATGGCAGCGAGAAGAAGTCCCACAGAGCAAAGGAGCCGGGTGGAGACCAGGAGCAAGAGAAAGGAGGAGCCGAGTGCCGAGAGCCAGATCTTGATGGACCAAAAGGTGAGTCTGGGGAGCTAATTTTGGGGCAGTGGGTCTCCTGTTTAGGACAGGGGTGAGAGGGGAGGGCTCCTATGACTCCTGCCTTTTCTCCCCAGCTCTAGGAAGAGAGTAGGGTCTAGTTGGCTTGAACAAGGGGAACTCAGAGACAAGACTCTTGACTCTGCATGGGGTTCAAGCAAGGGGGACTATGAGCCGGGACTCCTGGGTTGTGCCCCAGCTCTGGGGTTTCATGGGTTCAAAGCCAGGGGGCTGGGAGGCAGGACCCTTGGGCTCTGCCTCTGGCATGGGAAGGCAAGCAGGGCTGGGAGCCAGGAGTACTGGGGTCCAAGCCCTGCTGTGGGAGAGGAGTGTGTCCCTTTGGGGATGGGGGTGCCTGGGGGGGCAGAAGTGCTGGGTGTGCTTCCCTGTTACGGACGGGGAGTGGGGTCTCAGCAGGGACGGCGGCAGGTAGGAGCAGATCAGGACTCCTGGCACAGGTTCTGGTTCACCCTCCTGCAGTTGGGGCAGGTCCAGGGGAGAGGGGATTTCCCCAGGTCAAGTCAGAAAAGTTTTGTTGATGTTGGTTTTTCCAGGAATGGAACAAAAGAAGGCTGGGTGTGCTTCCCTGTTACGGACGGGGAGTGGGGTCTCAGCAGGGACGGCGGCAGGTAGGAGCAGATCAGGACTCCTGGCACAGGTTCTGGTTCACCCTCCTGCAGTTGGGGCAGGTCCAGGGGAGAGGGGATTTCCCCAGGTCAAGTCAGAAAAGTTTTGTTGATGTTGGTTTTTCCAGGAATGGAACAAAAGAAGGGGGCGGGCGAGAGACACAGAGAGGGAGAAGTTCTCATATTTATATGGAGGTGCGTGGGGTTTGCTGAGCTAGTGAATGGACGGAAGAGGGGAGATTAAATTGGCGGCTGGGTAAAGGGGGTGGATGGGTGGGTGGGTGGGTGGTGGCGGCTGGATAAAGGGGATGGATGGATGGATGGATGGATGGATGAGTAGACGTATGCGTGGGAAGGTGTGGATGGAGATCTAGGCTGCTTGGAGGGATGGACAGACAGACAAATGGGGTACGTAGGGGGACAAATGGGTAGCGTGTACTTGGGTAGAGGCTGGAAGGACAGGCGTGCCGATGTGCAAGGACTTCCAACCCCAGTCCCAATCTGCCCTGGCAGCTTTCTCTCCTGGCCAGCTTCAGATACAAGACTGGAGTTGTCTGGTTGCCAAACTGTTTCTATTGGCATGAATATACGGTGCTGGGCAGGGGCTGTGGCTGGGCAGCCAGCCTGAGGACGACCATAGGCACAGCACTCAGCTGCCCTGCCCTGAGAGCAGCCCTGGGTGAGAGAGGATCCCCCTGGGGATGAGCAGCGTGGGCCTAACAGGACTCATTCCTTCCAGCAGGGGTCAGTGTGCATGCATGTGAACACACACTTGCACGCACACCCGCGCATGCAAACGCACACGGCGTTTTCTTTGCACGAAAAATCAAACTACAGGCACAAAACTCCTGGGCGCTTGCTCCAGGCTCAGCATGGGAACAAACCCTGGATGTACGCTCTTCGTTTGACTAGTCAAAAGGGAGTGTGCCTGTGCATGTGCATGTGAGTTTGTGTGTGCATGCACATGTGCATCAGCTGCCCTCTGCTGGAAGGAGAGAACCCTGTTCCAGGTGTGCAAATGTGCACACATGTATGTCCCTGTTGACCCCTGCTGGAAGGCGTGCGTGTGTGTGTGTGCAGAGTCGCACCACTCTCTCCCCAATAGCCCCCTGTGACCAATTCCCCTTGGCCTCTTGACCAGCTCTGGACCCGCACTTTCACCTAGAGGCCTGTGGGTTGCCCGGGTGGGGAGGAGTGCAGGGATGACTACCTGCCCTGCCCCTGCTATTTTCCACACTGCCCCCACCCACCCCCCCAAGCGAAACTGGGATGATTCGAGCCCAGTGGAAAGAACGCAGGGAAGATAAGCTGAGCAAACAGCACGGCAATGAGGAGGGGGGGATCTTTCCTGCTGGAAAGTTTCTGTTTGGAGGAGTGGGGACGGGATGGGGACAGGCTGGTGGGGCCGGCCAGGGGCTGCCTGGGCCGGTTCTGGAGGGCCTGGCCCGGACTCCTAGCCAGGGTCCATATAAAGCAGGAAAGCGGCCAGCAGAGGGAGAAGGAAGGAGTGAACTGGCCGCGGCAGTACATGGAGAGCAGCTGCAGAACAGGTACCTGGGCACCTGAGACGGTACTGACTGATGGACAGGCAACCACCCTGTCTTCTCCCCTTCTGGAGGCACTCCCAGCCCACCGGACCCTGCTCCTCTTCCAAAGCAGACGGACCCCGGGGCACAGACTCCCACTCTGCTTCTGGACGGAGTGTCCATCCCCAGGCATCCCGGCTCCCACCTCTCTTCCCCCAGCTGCAGCCATGAGGTGCCACTCCTCTCCCAGTGAAGCCAGGGCTTTGCTCCCCAGTGGGGACAGTGGGGTCTGGTAGATTAGAGCAGGGGTGCTGGGTCCTACCCCCAGTCCCGAGGGAGAAATGAGCACTAGCGGGCTGGGGCTCCTGGGCCCTGACCTCACTGCTCTCTCCAGAGTGGAGTCCATGCCTCGGTTTTGCAGGCTGCAAAATACAGGTGGCTGCTATACGCCAGTACGTGTGCATGCTTGCGTGCCTGTGCGCGTGTGCCGGCTGCGGGGGACTGGATCCTGCTGCTCACGCCTGTGCGTGTAACTCCCTCCTAACCCTCCCTGCTCCAAGCAGAAGGACCCCGTGACTCGCCCGCCCGCTCCACCATGGACTCTCCAGCCTATAAAACTGTCATGGCCTTGGGGCGGTTCAAGGTGAGGAGGCTCCAGACCGGGCCAGCCAAGAAACCCAGCAGGGGAGAAGACAGCGGCCCCCGGCCCCCAGCCCCGGGGGGCTCAGGCCAGTCAGAAGAAGGGGGTTCCTTGTCGGCGCCCCCGGACTATGAGACCACCATTGATGCCAGCCCCTGCTACGAGTTTTACGCGCACTCGGTGCCGCCGGGACGAGTCCGCAAGAGCCGCCCCTCCCTGGAAGTGCTGCGCAATGCGGTAGGGCCTTAGGGGCATGCTCAGGGTGGGGGGCACGGTGCTGCAGGGAACAAGGTGGGCACTGTGCTTCTGCTGGAGGTGCATAGGCAGCGTGCTGCTGAGGGAAGGAGGGGTGGGCAGGTTAGCTGGGATCACTGCTGCAAGGTGCGCAGGACAGGATGACACCGTTAAGGGAGCTGTGCCGGGGGCAGAGTGGAGAGGGTCTGTAGGGCGGCTCTAACCCTGCTTTCCATCTGTGCCCAGGAAAACGGAGAGGTTTTCCCTGAAGTCCCAGACCCTGGGGTCCCCAACTCGAAGGTGATGGACGATGATCCAGAGGCAGCGGCCTCCGTGGCAGAGCCTGTTCGGTTTGGCTGGGTCACTGGCGTGATGGTAAAGGGAGCTTTTCCCCCTCCGAGAGGGGCATGGGGCCAGCTGGGGAGCAGGCCAGACTCTGTGGTCCCATCATCTGCTCTTCCCTGGTTTCTCTCCCCAGATCCGGTGCATGCTGAACATCTGGGGTGTGATCCTCTACCTCCGGCTGCCTTGGATCACGGCTCAGGCTGGAATCGGTAATGGGGCTTGCTTCCCCGCGGCCGGGGAGCTGGGAGAGGAGGGACCAGGGTGGGAGCTCACCCAGAGGGGTGGAGAGGCAGCAAGGAGCAGGCCCATCCTCTGGCTTTCACCACTCATTGACTCCCACCCCCGCAGGGCTGACTTGGCTGATCATCCTCATGTCAGCGTTGGTCACTACTGTCACTGGCCTCTCCATCTCCGCCATCTCCACCAATGGCAAGGTCAAGGCAGGTGAGTTGTGTGGCCTCGTGCACCCTGCTACCAGCACAGCCATGGCAGGACAGCAAGCCACAGTCCCCAGTTTGGCCATGGCAGGGAGGGCTGGTGCTGTGGTGGGGCCAGTGGGGGCCGGACTGGGTGCGACATATGGAGGCAGGATGAGCTGGAAGCCAAGCGAGCGCTCCATGCTGGAAGCAGGTAGTTCAGCTTAATAGCAGGCACATGTGACTGTGCATACGTGTGGGCATGTGCATACACGTGCATGCACACACACACACACACACACGCAGAGTCTCTAGGGCTCACCTTACAGCTGCACCAAGTCAAGAGTTGGATCCCACCCTGCTGAACAAGCCTGACTCTGTCTGTCCAAGCACAGGGGGCACCTATTTCCTGATCTCACGCAGCCTGGGTCCTGAGCTGGGAGGCTCTATCGGGCTTCTCTTTTCCTTCGCCAATGCCGTGGCTGTGGCCATGCACGTTGTGGGTTTTGCCGAGACCGTGCGTGACTTGCTGCTGGTAAGAGGGGCCCAGCACAACCGTGTCCTAACAGCAACCGCAGCAACCCTAAGCTTAACCCCAGCCCTGTCCTACTGATCGCTGCAACCTGAACCCTAAATCTAAGCATCATTCCAACCCTAACCATGACCATCCCATGACCCAAATGCTAACTTGAACCATCAGTTCAAAGCAAGACCTAACCTGAAACCCAACGTAGGCTCTAACCATCAGTCCAAACCTACCCCTAGGTTTAGCCCTAATCTTCCTTCCAAACATAACTATTATTTCAGCCCGAACCCAAGTCTAAGCCTTTCTGTGACTAAGTGTCACTCCAGCCCCAACACTGGCCTGTCACCTGACCCTAGTGATCACTCCAAACCTGATGCTAATCCTAATGCTGACACTACACCTAATCCTAAACCTAACCCTAACCAAATGTAATGCCAAACCAAAAATCATTCATCACTCCATTTCTAGTCCAAACTCGAGCCCTAGCCCTAACCAGAATCATAACACAAGCCCCATACCTACCCTGCCCTTACCCCAGCTCTAACCCTGATCCTAACCTGAGCCCTCAGTCTGACTCCCATGGGAAAAGGAGCCCCAGATCTAACCTAATCCGTGGTTCCTTCCCTACATCGAGTCCCTGACCCTTTGCCTCTCACTTCTCTACCAGGCTCCTTCCTGCTAACCTCCATCTCTGTGTGACCCCCTAGGAGTTTGACGTGGTGATGACAGATCCTACAAACGATATCCGGATTGTGGGAGTCATCACAGTGACTGTGCTGATGGGCATTGCAGTGGCTGGCATGGAGTGGGAAGCCAAGGTATGATGCCTGGATCCTTTCCTTGGCTCTGGGCAGGGAATGGGCTCTAGCGAGTTGCAGCAGGGGGCTGGGCGTCCGCACCCCTGGGTTGTGTTGCCGGCTGTGGGAGGGGAGCCTCGTGGTTTGCCCAGGTAGCGATGGGTTCGCAGCTCTTCTCCATGCCCACTTGCAGGCCCAAGTCGTCTTCTTTTTAGTCATCATGGTCTCCTTTATCAACTACTTTGTGGGAACCCTGATGCCTGGTACTGAGGAGAAGATGTCCAAAGGCTACTTCAGCTACAAAGGTAAGGAGCAGTGGCATGTCCCTCCTCTGGATGCTGGCTCCGACAGCCCCATCCCCGCTGCGTGACTCACCCTCTGCCTCCCCCTGTCCACAGGGGATATCTTCATGGAAAATCTTGGGCCAGACTGGCGGGGAGAGTCAAGCAGCTTCTTCACCATGTTCTCCATCTTCTTCCCTTCCGCCACTGGCATCTTGGCTGGGGCCAACATCTCTGGAGACCTCAAGGTGGGCAGCCAGGCCCACCAGGGTCAGGTGGAAGAATGACCTGCAGCACCGTGGGGTACAATTGCCGCCCAGCCCTGACTTGTCCCTCTTTTCAGGACCCCGCTGTGGCCATCCCCAAAGGAACCCTGCTAGCCATCTTCTGGACAACGCTCTCCTACCTGGCTGTCTCCGCGACCATAGGTGATGCCGTGGTGTGGGGACAGGGCAGAGGAGGGGGTATAGCCGACACGAGAGGGCACTGTGCTGCGGGAGCAGTGGGGCTGGGGGCTTAGCATGAGGCATGTCCTGACCTGGGAGGGTTCATCTTCCCCATTTCCTTCCAGGTTCCTGTGTCCTGCGTGATGCATCTGGAAGCATGAATGACACCCTGGGCTCCCTCAATGCCACAGGTGACTGCCTGGGCCTGGGCTGCCACTACGGCTGGAACTTCAGCTCGTGCACCCAGACCGGGACTTGTGAACATGGGATGGCCAACAACTACCAGGTACTCTGGAGGATGGGGGCAGGACCTCCCTAGGGGAGTGGGGGGCTGCGGTGGGGCCTCACCTGTGGAGGAAGGACTACAGGAGGGCTCAGTGTTGAGAGGGAGGGCCTGGGGAAGCCGTCAGCCCTGGGCAGGGAGGACTAGGAGTTGGGGAGAAGGTGGCTATAGGATCTCGCAGGCTGGGACTTATAGTGGGACCTTTCTCTCCGCAGACCATGAGTATGGTGTCCGGCTTCAGTCCCCTCATCACAGCTGGGATCTTTGCTGCCACCCTCTCCTCAGCCCTAGCCTGCCTCGTCTCTGCCCCCAAGGTTTTCCAGGTGTGTGGGGGAGAGTGTTGGAAGTGGAAGGGCCCAGCATCACAACAGCAGCTACACGCTGTGCATACCTCCGCTGGCACACTCGCGTGCAATCACACCCTGCCATCATCGACAACCCTGCCAACACCGTCTATGACTGAAATCCCAGTGTCACAACCGCTCCTAAATCCCCAGCTGACACCACAAGAATCCCTAATCCCCACCCCAACAACACCTCAAAACACCTTTGTCACAACTGATCTGGACACCCCCGCATCCATGGACCCCAGAGTACTGCAGTACCCTAAAGAGACCCTCAGAACATCCCCACTGATATCTGAACATCCTCCATAACCCCCTCATGTGCCAGCACCCCACTATCACGCCAAACTCTAACCCTTGCTGGCATCATTGCAGCCCAAATGCATGTCTTTCTCCCAGCCCCTCCCTTCCATCTCCCCTCTCCCCCCCTACACATGCTACCGTACCTCCAGGATCGCTCGGTAAACCAGCTCTCTCTCTTGTGGCATGCCCCACTCACTCCTGCCCTTTCCTGTCTGCAGTGCCTCTGTCAGGACAGGCTCTACCCTTTCATCGGCTTCTTTGCCAAAGGCTATGGCAAGAACAATGAGCCACTCCGGGGCTATGCGTTGACTTTCGTTCTGGCCACTGCCTTCATCTTAATTGGTGAGTGGGATCGTGACTCTGCCCGGGGAATGAGTAGAAGGAGACCATGCCACATGGCCTGGGAGTGGGCTACCACATTCATATAATATCTCTTTTTATTGCATCCACAGCTGAGCTGAACACCATTGCCCCCATCATCTCCAACTTCTTCCTCTGCTCGTATGCTCTCATCAACTTCAGTTGCTTCCATGCCACCATTACCAACTCACCAGGTACAGTAAGTCACTGAATGGGCTGAGTTGGAGACACTGATTTGGAAGGGCTGGGTTGCATGGTGCGAGTTGGAGGAGCTGCTCTAGGTAGAGAAGAAATGGGTTGGATAGTCTGAGGTGTAAGGATGGGGCTCACTCAGGAATCACGTTGCCTTGTAAGGGTTGGGTTTGACAGGGCAGATTTGACTGGAATAAGTTAAGTTGGATCAGACTGCATAGGAGAGTGGGGTTAGTGGAGTGGGCTGTGTGAGGGGAATTGAGTTGCTTTGCTAGAACTGGGCTGGGTAGGATCAGCTTGGGTTGGATAAATTCAGCTAGAAGGATTGGCTGCATGGGGTGGAGTACGTTTGCATGAGGGAGTTGAGCTGGATTGGGACAGCGGGGCCGCGTGTAGTAGGAGCTGAGTAGAGCTGGAAGGGTGGATAGAGTAGAGTGGGATGAGATGAAGGAGCTAGGCTGTGCAAGGTAGTGATGGGTTTTATTGGAAGAACTGGTTTGGTTTGCAAGGGCTAGCTTGGGGAGGACAGAGTTGTTTGACTACATGCATGTGGAAGGGTTGTGCTGAATAGGAGGGTGTTGAGTTGGGTATGGGGAGGGCTGCACTGAGTAGGGTAGAGTTGGGTTGGAAGTGCTGGGTTATGTGCAATGGAGTCAGGCTGGATACACTGAGTTGGATGGGTTGGGCTGGGTAGAGTGGAATTGGGCTGAATACAATGGGCTGGAAGGGATGGGCTGAGTGGAGCTAAGCTGGACAGAGCCTTTAACCTACTGGCCCGAGTGAGCTGGGAGCGCTCAGTGTTGCAGGAGGTGGATGGAGCTGAATAGGGATGGGTGTGTCAGATGAGTGTGCGCCACGCTACAAATCCCTGCGAGTGCATATCATCACCCCCCACAACCCTAGGCTGGCGACCCACCTTCCGCTACTTCAGCAAATGGAGCGCCCTCTTCGGTGCTGTGATTTCCGTGGTCATCATGTTC